GATCATTTTTAACTTGGGTTATTAGTTCCTTGTATACTCTGGGTATTAATCTCTTGTCAGATTATGAAAATGCTTTCTCTCATTCTCTAGATCGTGACTTAACTCTGTTGATTGCTTCCTTGCACAGAAGTTTCTGTAATTCTACAGAAAGTTTGTTGTAATTCTATTATAAATCTTGTCTTTTAATTCAGGTTCCTGTTTTGGGGGCCCTACCCCCAAAATTCTTTGTCTACACTAATATTTTGAAGTATTTCCACTACATGTTCTGTAGCAGTTTCATATATCCAAGTCTTACATTAGGTATTTCATACATTTTGAGTTGATTGTTGTGTACAAGAAGATGCTGAGATATACTTTCATTCTTCTGCATATGTGCCGGAATTGTTCATTGAGAAGATGTCTTTTCTCTCATGTATGTTCTTTGCACTTTTGTCAAAAATTCGAAGGCTGTATACACGAGGATTAATTTCTGAGTTCTCTGCTCTGTTCCATTGGTCTCTGTGTTGGTTTTTATGCCAGTATCATACTGTTTAACTTAGTATAGCTTTGCATTATATTTTGAAGTCAGGTATTGTTTTTTGGATTTTGTTTTGTTTTGATTTTTTTTACTCAAGATCACTCTAACTATTCTGGTCTTTTGTGACTACATGTAAATTTTATGATTACTTCTTCTATCTCCGTAGAGAATGTCATTGATATTTTGATGGGGATTGCCTGATGATCACTTTGGATAGTATGGTCATTTTTACAATATTAATGTTTCCAATCCATGAACAAAGGCTATGTTTCAACTTTGTGTGTGTCCTCTATAACTTATTTCATCAATGTTTTATAAGTGTCATTGTAAAGTTTTTTCTCTCTCTTGGTTAAATTTATTCTTTATTTATGGCTTGTAATTAGGATTGTTTTCTTGATTTCTTTTTTATCAAGTTCACAGTTGGAATAGGAAAATGTTACACTTCTGTATGTTGATTTTCTAGTCTGAAACTTTTCTGAGAAGGTAAATGTTTTAAATGGTATGTACTTGGGAATATGAAAAGAGAATACCATTTTCCTAAATATACTTGGATTTACAAGTATATTTCACAAACATGCTTTGCTTATAAGTCTATAAAAATGTAAATGTTTTATATATTCAAAATTAAATTCTAAAATAATTCTTCAAACAAAAATAACAAATTAACCAAATTAGCAACATTGTTACATATACATATTACTTTAAGTAATTTTTTATCTCAAAAATTGTACAAACTTAGTAGGATATATTGCAAGAATCCAAGAGAACTACAAGAAAATCTCAAACTTCATTTGTCGATTTTATTATAAGTGGTAAGCCTGATGTTATTAGTTTGAAATACTTTCATGTGTATTGTAATGTAAGTAATTATGCTCATGTTGTTTAAAAACATTGTTTTACTATAACGTCAAAGAAGCTAAATGAGTTATTGTAAATTGAACTGAAAGCATTTATGGAAGCTTATGACTTAAGCTTTTTGTTTGAAAGTTCAAATTTACAGGAAAAAGGAAAATCACATTACCACATTACCATTTTCCCAACTTAATCTTTTATTAAAAAATTGTTCCTTTTGCTTGTCATCTACTCTATCTACCCCCTACACACATGTGAGTTTTTCCCAAAATAATTAAGGATAAGTTGCATAAACCATGTTTGAATGTATCTCTAAAAATAAATTATCTTCTTTTGCATAGTTACCAAACTTAACATTGAATCAGTACTTCAGTCTAATCCACTATCTATACTGTAATTAACCATCTCAATAATGTTCTTCTAGGAAAATAGTATCCAGTCTAAGACTGGAAATACCATTTAGTTGTTAGGTCTCTGGTCCCCTTTAGTTTGGAACATTTTCTTAGTCGTGTGTGTGTGTGTGTGTGTGTGTGTGTGTGTGTGTGTGTGAGAGAGATACACCACTGACTTTTTCTCTAGGAATTTTTAAATAGACTATTCTCCATCTTGAATTTTCTGGTGCTTCTGTGATTAGATTAAGGATTTGCATTCTGGAGGAATTACTATGTATGGGATACTGTGTCCTTTTCAGGACATCACACTGCTGACGTTGGTCTTATTGCTGTTCATCTGTGTCTGATTTGTCTACTGTGTCATTAAAATCATCTCATGATTTCAAAAAAATACAAACAGATAGTCTATCTCTATCCACAGAAAGAATCTATTCCATTTACTCTAGGGAAAATAACAACCACTCCTACTGCCCAAGTTTAGATCTCTAAATTCCATTCCTCAGCAAAGGTATCACAGATTCTTGAAACCATAGCTTCCCTCTAGTTTAGAGTAAGAAATTTAAAAAGTGAGCTCTGGGCATCTCATTGTGCCACAAAATAAGGTAATTCTCAAAATTTGAGTCATATTTAAAGGACTCTGGAGTCAGCTTGAAAGGATTTCTTTGGCCAAAGATGGGATCTTGTATCAAAAAATATATAAAATTGATTGTTAGGCATGGACTCTGTAATACAATCTTTGAGTCCATAACAATACCTCTTACCCTATTGAGGGAACAAGGAATTTTTTTTCACTCCAAAGTGCTCCTGTATTCCCTGTCAAAACAGAGGGGCAAATTTTGCTCCCTCTGATGGAACTCAAGAGTCTTCAAGATCCAGCATAGATGCCACTTCCTCTGAGGAGCCTTCCTATAAAGTCTGTGTAGTTCTTCAATCCTCTTTATTCCGGTAGACCTCATTGTAAGGGCATTTTTAAATGTGCCTATCATAACTGTCCTAGAATTATTTGTCTAATTGTACTGTTCTCTCCAGACTACAAGTTTATAAATATTTGATCTCTTTGGATTTTACTTTGGATTTTACTGCCTAGCCCTTATCACATATTTAAGGACAGTTTTATATATTGAACACGTTATTATCTATTGGGAATGAGTAGATTAATTTCAGTAGTTATCTCTGCTTTTTGATCACACAGTGCAAATCTGTGGATACGTTAAGAAATGGTTGAGTGCAGTTAAACAGCTGGCAACTTTAGTTGATGTGGATTTTTAAATGAATTTTTCATGAAAAAAATCAAACAAAGCTTCATGAGAATATGATAATAACCATAGTTAATACACTGCGTATCATTATCTTTAAAGTAGTTTTAAAGTATCTTTAAAGTAGTACAAATCATCGACAAAAAAGATTCTTACAAAGAAACAAACTATTATGAGCACAAAACGTTCTTTTCACTGGAATAAGAGAAACTTGTAGTACAAATGTTACCCTAATAGCTGTTATAGTGGCTTTTCTTGCTTCTTTTCTATCTACCAGCCAGAGCTTCGGCATGTATTAAAACCAGTCCCTACAAGTTCTTTCTGTTTCTTGTTCTTAATAAGTTCCTTTAGTATTTTTTTCTGTGACCATCACATAACATATTGATAACAGGTAAGGCATCAACAAAATCAATGATTAATTTTTAGCAATCCTTTGAGTATCTGTAGTTTGACTTAGCTGTAGCATTTTAAAGTAGTAGTTTGAAAAAAATTTTAAGTGAATTGGGTTCAGCATTTGTAAGACATCACTGCAGCCAAACCACTCGACGGTGTAGACACCAGTGATCTGTGTTTATCAACCTTCTATCACGCAGTCTCTCGCTGAGTGTAATCTTTTATGCTCCTGTGCACAAAACCAGTCTTGGGTCTCCCGGACTGTTAAGGATTAACAATTTAGGTAGTAGAAATCTCGTAACCATCTGTCAAAACCAGGCACATGCGCACTCCATCGCTCACAGAGGATGGATTCTTATTTAAACCATCAGAGTACGAAAGCAGACAGGTGCGGTTTAGGCGCCATCTGTGCTTCCGCGGGGCAGAACCAAAAGCCTGCAAAAGGTGAGGACCGCAGTCTAGCAGCTGCCCAGAGGCGCTGCGCCGGAAGAGGCTGGGAGCTGGCCGTGGTCCTGACCCGTCCCCGGGGCACCGTCCCACGGGTCTGAGGGGTCCTGAGTGCTGGCCTTCGGTAGGTGTACAGTCAGGCCGTGTACGGGGGAGTCACCTGGTAAGTGAAAGGCGGCCTCGGACTCCTTCCCATCTCCTGAAACTGCTACCGCTCAGCAGCAACCATAATAACAGCAAGGAGTTCGTATTCATTTACTGAGTGTCCAGAGACGTGGAACTCACTCGCAGGAATTCATTCTTGGAATTCAAAGAAACACTGCAGCTCAGAAGGCAGAAGACCTTGCCCAAAGGAACACAGCAATTAAGTAGCTGATCTATCCTAATCATGCCTTAGAAGGAAAGGAAGAAAGGAAGGTAGGAAAGAAGGAAAGCAGGCAGGCAGGCTGGGAATTTAACTCAGTGACACAGCTTGCACTGCCTAGCAAGCGCAAGGTCTTGAGTTCAATTCCCGGTACCAAAAGAAGAGAAGGGGGCAGAGAAGAGTCAGGAACTGTGCCCGCTCCACGCGTGCCCTGTCACCCCCGCGGCTCCTTCCCGTTCGTCTGCCTCATCCTTTCATGCCTGCCTTTCTAGGTCTCCCTCCGGGTCTGCATCAGGCAGAGGAGATCCTCCGCACAGCATACCCCTGCCAAGGTCAAGCTGGAGGAGCCGCAGGGGGCTGGGATTTAAGGCAAGATTATCCACACGTCTTGCCCCTAAGGCACTCAGAAGTGCAAACTGCCTGGGTGATTCTCCGCGGGTCTCCGAGTGCCGGACTCGCTGTGGGACCTTAGACAAGCGGTCCCCTCTCTTAATGTACTTCTCTCGGTGGTTTGTTCCACACTGCGTGAGGCTTTTCCCCGGAACGCACTTTTCCTCTCTGGCCCGATGCGAACACACAGCCTTCCCCACCCCACACCACGTTCTGTCCACCGAGATGGGCACGCTCGCTTTTTCTCCCTGCAGGTTCACAGCCGCCCCTACGCCCTCTTGAAGGACTCAGGTCCCGAGTACTGGGAAGCATCCTTCCTTTGCCAGCGCCGCCCCCACCCCGTTCCTGGAGGGACCGTCTTTCCCGGCCACCCGGCGCCCTGGGCCCTGGAGAGAGCTCCCTGCGCACCAGGCTCGGGGCGCTTCTCTTTGCAGAAGCCGCGGGCGCCGACCCTTCGGCATGTGCGAGATGCGGCTGGGGCGTGAGCGCGCAGGCCGGGCGCAGCTGCTCGGGTGACAGGTGAGCCGGCCGGGGAGGGGAGAAGGGAGCGGCGGAAGGGGAGGCGTGGAGAGAGCATGGGTCACTGTCCCTCTCTGCCGCGGGTCCGTTTCCCTCCCACCGCGCCTTGTCGGGGCTGCTCCCCCACCCCCCTGCGCCTCTCCAGCGCCCTCCCAGCTGCCGCGCCCTCTTCCCCGGCGCCCTCCAGCTCCCGGCAGCCGCCTCCAGGGATCTGCTCGGTCCTTCGGCGGAGCCGGTGCAGCGCAGCCGGCAGCATGTGGAACGCGACGCCCAGCGAGGAGCCCGGGTCCAACCTCACGCTGGCCGACCCGGGCTGGGACGGCCCCGCAGGCAACGACTCCCTGGCCGAGGAGCTGCTGCTGCTGCCGCTGTTCCCCGCTCCGCTGCTGGCGGGCGTCACGGCCACCTGCGTGGCCCTCTTCGCGCTGGGCGTCGCGGGCAACCTGCTCACCATGCTGGTGGTGTCGCGCTTCCGCGAGCTGCGCACGACCACCAACCTCTACCTGGCGAGCATGGCCTTCTCCGACCTGCTCATCTTCCTCTGCATGCCCCTGGACCTCGTCCGCCTCTGGCAGCACCGTCCCTGGAACTTGGGCGACCTGCTCTGCAAACTCTTCCAGTTCGTCAGCGAGAGCTGCACCTACGCCACGGTGCTCACCATCACCGCGCTGAGCGTGGAGCGCTACTTCGCCGTCTGCTTCCCGCTGCGCGCCAAGGTGGTGGTCACCAGGGGCCGGGTGAAGCTGGTCATCCTGGTCATCTGGGCCGTGGCCTTCTGCAGCGCCGGGCCCATCTTCGTGCTCGTCGGGGTGGAGCACGAGAACGGCACCGACCCCCGGGACACCAGCGAGTGCCGCCCCACGGAGTTCGCGGTGCGCTCGGGGCTGCTCACCGTCATGGTGTGGGTGTCCAGCGTCTTCTTCTTCCTGCCCGTCTTCTGCCTCACCGTCCTCTACAGCCTCATCGGCAGGAAGCTGTGGCGGAGGAGGCGCGGCGAGGCGGCGGTGGGCGCCTCGCTGCGGGACCAGAACCACAAGCAAACCGTGAAAATGCTGGGTGAGTGTCGGCGGCGCCGGGCGTGCTGACCGCGCCGGCCCCGAGCCGGCCGGCTCTCCTGGGGACGCTCCCCTCGGCTTCCCAGCTCTGGGTCTCTCAGCCCTCCCTCTCTCCATGCGGTGTTCATTCTTTCACTCGGTATCTTTCACCTTTCTGTGTTTCTTTCTCTGTCTTCTTTCTCTTCATAATGGTTTTATTTGCCCAAAGTGAATTTTATGTGAGCCCAGAAACTTGCTTCAAAACTAAGATGTTTGATGAAAGCCTTGTTGAATGTCAAAAATGAGGTGTTAAAACTGAGGTGAAGCTTCCTGCCTCAAACAGAGTTCCTGGATAGACAGTTACACGAAGCAAAGCAGGCATTACACGGCTAAAGTATTCGGCGGTGATCATCACTAAAAACATGGTCTTGCTAGGGAGTAGTAAAATAGTATGATTTGTTTTCTGCCCTGACATTTTCCAGATAATTAGACCAACTCCATTCATTCGGTTGCTGTTTATATGGCTTTCAAAAATTGTCAGAGACAAATCAGTGATGGGTCTCTTTTTATTTATTTTCGTGATTATCTGTCTCTCCAGGTAGCATAGGCTAGCAGAAGACAGCTAGCACAGGCGAGACCCCAGCAGGAGAAAAGTAGACCAGGAGGCCGGAGGACTTAACTCTGGCCCTCAGTCAGCCTCCCAGGAGCACTTGTGTGCAGGGCACAAGTGAAGTGTGCCCAATGTTTATTGCATGAAATAACCCTCTTTAAGGATATGTGTTTGGCACAGACGAAGTAATACAAATGAGTTTTTATGCAGGTGAAATACTAACTCTACTCACTTTTTGAAAGCTAGAGTCTGCATATTTTATTATTTGAACACTATGATCTGCATTTTATATTTATTGACACAGTTAAAGTTTCTTAGAAGTTATTCTAGGATGGTTCCATATCTACAATGTTATGATTATGATTCTTAGATCCTGCATATTAAAATTATAGAGTTTATTCAAGTAATGTCAGATCTCATTTTCTAGATCACTGATTCTCCCAGTATGACTCATAAATTGTAAACCTATTTGTATCCTCCAGGGGACTCTAAACTCTTACATATGAGTTCACACTGCTGCCATGACAGTTAAATTGTTACTATGAAACTCAGCTTTGAGGATAAGTTTACCAATTTACTCTAATTTGTAAGCCATTAAATTTCTCATCAATGTTAATTTTTTCTTTGATAATTTAAAGGAAATTACTAATGTGGTAGCACGGTTAAAAGAATTTTTGGTTATCTTTCCTCTGCTTTCTGAATTTCAAAACTTGAATCTGAAAATGTAGGAATCTTTTAAAAATATATGGGCAAAATAAAGCCTTGGATGGGTGGTAATTAATATTGGTTGGTTGAATGACATATCATATCTTACTTACAGCTACTGTGGTATAGAAACAACCATCTCAGTTGTTCTTAATCCTAACTGCATTTCCAGACATCTGTAAAACTTAAACACAAAATGGTGTAATGGCACATTCCCGTAGACCCAGCTATCAGGACGCTGGGGAGGTAGCATCATTAAAGCCCAAAAGTTCAAGGCCAGCCTGGGCAACATTGCAAGACCAAATCACATCATATGAAAGGGAGGAGGGAAGGAAGGAAGGGAGGAGAGACAGAGAAAGCAAATGACTTCATCTCCTTTTGGGAAATTTTAATTTACTGAGTCTATATTTATAAATCTGCATTTATGGGGCTGGAGATTTAACTCAGCGGCATAAGCGTCTGCCTTGTAAGCAGGCAGTCGTGAGTTCGATCTCTGGTACCGATAAAAAAGAAAAAGACCAAAAAAAATCTGCGTTTATAAAAAATAAAGTGCCCTAGGCAAGTCTAGTTCACAAGTACGGTTGAGTTCAACTTTAATGCATACACGTTTGTGTTAGGTCTAACACACGTAAATGGCGGATTATTGTGAACAAACTGGCTATCAGTTGAGTCAATATGTCACCTCAATCACAAAACAAGTAAACAACTCCTTAAATAGAAATGCCCGCAAGTAAAACAACAGAAAGAATTGTCTGTTTCTTTGGGAGTCTCAAGCTCTGTTAAAATGAAGGGATGGGCAAGAAGAGTAGAGCCTTCTATGGTTCTGTGACAAGAACATAGTCATAGACAAGGACATAGTGTATCTCAGTGGTCAAGGCATATGTAGTGAAAACAAAGCCAAGTCTTAATAACTACAATGCTTTTATTGCAATGTTTCTTGCACTGACGATCTCTTTCCCATTGTCCTTTTAGCGATAGTGGTGTTCGCTTTCATCCTCTGCTGGCTACCCTTCCACGTAGGAAGATACTTATTTTCCAAATCTTTTGAGCCCGGCTCCCTGGAAATCGCTCAGATCAGCCAGTACTGCAATCTCGTGTCATTTGTCCTCTTCTACCTCAGTGCTGCCATCAACCCCATTCTGTACAACATCATGTCCAAGAAGTACCGGGTGGCGGTCTTCAAACTTCTGGGAGTCGCGTCCTTCTCCCAGAGAAAGCTCTCCACTCTGAAAGATGAAAGCTCTCGGGGCTGGACAAAGTCTAGCATCAATACATGACCAGATGTGTTACTGAGCTCTTCATCACTTACTATTCTACATGGAAGCCATAGGACAGCAGGACTTGGGAAGCAGCTGAAGGTCAATATTGGAATTAGGGACACATTGACTAGAAGCAACTGGAGGACAGGAAAGACAGAACCTGTAGGGCATGAGAAGTTTGATTCGACTGCATCCCGTCATTGCCCTCACACACTCTTCCTGCATTCCCACTGCCTGTGATTTCACCTTCTGCTGCTGGTGCTGGGGAAGACTCTGAAAACGGAAAACGCAGGAGCTGCTCAAGAGAGGACGAATAAGGCCCTGCTGGGTGGGGAAATACTAAATCTGATTTGCTATTCCACACTGATCAAAATTATCTAACTAAAAGAGTAATATTAAAATAAAATTCAAAACACGACTTTTAAAAACTAAAAATTTTTACAAAGCTCTAGAGTAGTACGGGCTAAGACAGACAAGATACAATGCACATAAGTGATCGGTATAAATCGATTAACAAAAACGTAACATTTTCCTTCACAGGAAGTTTTTGAACACTCAAGCTGGCCATTAAGTTTCATCAGTAATACTTAATGTATTTAGAGTTCACAAAATGTACAGGCAAAAGAGTAGGCTCAACAACTTCTTAAGAGTAGACTCAACAACTCGTTTAAGTTAAAAATTCTCTAATAGTTAAAATGGATTTTTGAATTAAAATCAGTTCAATTAAAAATTAATTTCCTCAATTGTATTAATCACATTTCAAGTATTCGACAGCCAGATGTGGCTAACGGTGAGTGAACAGAGCAGCCCTAGAGGATATACGTAATTATTAATAATCTTATGTGCTGTGTTTGGAAATAAATACCCTATGTCTGAATTTGTTTTTTAGTGAATTAGCATAGCAAAATTTTAGAATAATGAGCTCTAAGAATCACATTCAAATGAGCTATTGGTCATGCTTTGAATGTAACAATAGAACATACAAGATTCATTTAAAGATATCTAGTTACATATTAAGCATTCAGGAAATGATATTTTGTAAAAATCATAGACAATCTCACACCATCTTACTTGGCTTAACAAAAGCACGTAAGCCAACTATAAGGCTTTGGTTTTTGAATAAAAGAATAATTATGACTTAAGTTTACAGGACAGTTAATGAAAATAGAAATATTTTAAATGGTTAAGGCAGACCCATGTGAAAAACTCAGAATCATATAAATGCTACTGCTTATTGTCATTCAAAATGCTTTAAAATCTTGTAGTCATTTATTTTAGAATGTCTATGCTGTGTCTTGTCTGCAAACCAGTGTTTCTGTTCACATTCTACTGCTTACCTGATAGGTATGTGTACTTGTGTACTCAGTCCCCCTTAGTACTACATGTGATGAGTAGATACCTTCAACTGAATACTGTATGTTCGTTTAGGAAGAGAAAACTTTCATTTACATTGACATTTCTCCTTCTGTAGCCAGTTCTTTGCATTTAAATGTATTGTTCTAAAGTTGATTTCTTGCCTGGTGTGGTGGCACTCTCCTGTGATCGCAGCACTTGGGAGGCTCAGGTAGGAGGATCCTTGCAGGTTCGAGACCAGCCTGCACTACAAAGTGAGCCCAAGTCTTGTGAGACCTTGTCTCAAAAAGACAAAATAATAATAATAATAATCAAGATGATTTCTTTATAATCCTGTGCAGTACTGTACTAAGTCATATAAGCAAACTCTACATAAATTCATTGGTTTAACTATGGAATTAATTAGGCCACTTAGGGAAATTACTGTCATGATTATTTTTCATCCACCAAAAGGAAAGATAATCATGTTAAAATAATTAACTTATATAATTTATTTCAGAAACATCAAAACACAATCAGAATTATTGCTCTAGAGAAATACTTCCAGAATCCACTTGGATGCTAAAATTGCATCATCTATTCGATCTAAATGCAGAACTTTAACAAGCCGATTACTCAGTTAATTCTTAGGAGTATATCAATATTTTTAAAAAGTACATTGGTACATTTAATCCCACAAGAGCAAGCCCAGCTTTTAGTTAGCTGCTTAGCTTCCTCGCTGGCCAGCCCTCCCTGCTTTGTGGGTGCGTTACGTGCCTGCCGTCTTGGCCTCACTGTGAAAGAATAGTTTATTTGGCAAGGACCACCACTGTCCTTTACTGGTCAGTCTGGAAACTCAAAGAATATGTTTAGGGAAAGGGGTCTTGACGTTTGTCCTCTCACACTATTGTTTTTACATACATTGTTTGTAACTTCTTTATATTATTACTCTCCACGTATTTTTCAAGACTCAGGGAAAAAGGGAAATTACTCTGAAAGAGATTGTTTCTAAAAGTCTATCATTTCACAAATATTTAATGTATGTATGCTATTTAATAAACCAAGGCTTTTCACAAGTATTTGAATGTTATGTTGTGGTCGTCAGCTGTCTTTAAATTATGTGTCTTTAAAAACATAAAATGTCTTTAAATTATAAGGTAAACATCTCCGGTTGGCATGGTATCCGGCAGTCCCCTGGTGTTTCTAAGGGCTCTTCATCCCGCTGTGCCATGTATGGCTCAAAATGAACTTGAGCTGGGCTGTTCCTATGTAAAATTTGTAGGGAAAGTTAAAACCATTCTTCATTAATGCAGGGAAAGAATGAAATAGATTTTCTTTCTAAAAAAGTCTCTCTGCATCTCCATTTTGCTGGCTGTATACCCTTTCTGGTCACCATATCCTACAATGTCTCTAGTAAGGCTTGGGCTGCTTTTTCTACAGGAAGTAGCTGTTATCTGAGCAAGAGTTTTGTAGTAATTAAAGAAAATATTTATTTTATCAGTTTATTTAAAATGAGAGGCTTTGTAGTAATAAAAATTCTTACACCATATCTTAAATACCATTTTATAGTCAACTTTTTATTGCAATAAAAGTTGTTGTGATGGGATTTGGCTTAAAATTCTATTTTTTTCATGCAAATGCTTTTATCAAAACCCTGAAATCATTACAATTTGCAATTCTTAGTTCAACATTAACAGGTTTAGCTATTTATTCATTTTCATTTATCCACATACTTGAATTTCATATTTAAAAAAACTGTGAGGGTTTTTTTTTGTAAGACTGGTGCCTGAAAACACTCTTTTGAGCAACAGTGTATACATCTTTAAAATGTGACATACATGTTTACATACATATGTACATATTTACAAACATAAAAATCACAGTGTCTAAGTGAATAATAGAATAGAGCTTTCTGTTTTCAGAAACACTATCTCTTGTAAATAATATAACTGAAAGATGTCATTAAAAGATACGTGAGTAGGGCTGGGGATTTAGCTCAGCAGGTGTAAGCGCCTGCCGTTGTGATTTAGATCCCTGGTATGAAAAAAAAAAAAAAAGATACACCGTGTCTAACATGGTTCTTTACCTAAGGAGTCTCCTATTATTTCTTTGCAATTTAAATTGCAACATTAGTACGAAGGGCTTTACTTAAGTAATTAGTGACCAATGTTAATTCAGTAAGTTGATAACATAAATTTTTTTAATCAGAAATAAACTGCTGGTCAATTCAATAGGAAGCAATCTGCTGGTGACCTAGGCTCCCTTAAGCTAGTGTGACTTATTTATTCACATTAAATGAACTCAGCCTTGTCAGTTCCTACCAGATATCTAAGTTTAAAGCAGGTGAAGAGAAAGATTTGGATGAGGTTTGTTTTCTGTTCTTTTTGAAGTCAAACTCTTGCAGGATGGTAGAAGCCAGCTATTTTAGTAGAATTATCACATTTAAGGGGGAAAAGCTACTATGTTTATCCATCCCTCCCCCAATTATTTGGCTACTCACTGGAATCCCAACTATTATTTATGCTATAGCATTGTATATCTCTTTGTTTAAGCATTGCCAAATACCCTTAAAACTGGCCAGACACTAACATCCTCCGAAGGCATGCATCACTTAAATGCTCAGAAAGTTCTGCCGAAATGTTTATAAATGTTCTTTCCAGAAAACTTCCTCTTTGCCGAGCCACAGAGAAAGTGTTGGAGAACAATTCGAGTAACTTCCTGAGGTTTCAATGACACCAGTGCTTACACTTCCCACCATAGCCCTTTAGTTTAGTGTAGTAGAGAGCAAGGGTTCCTGTGAGTGTACCCAAACATTGTGTGGTTTCATTAACCTGTATTCTGTACAGAGCTTAATACTGCACTTGGTTGATTTATGTTGCCATAATGTTTTGGAAATGTTACTGATATTTTGACTTTTGATTCTTTCTTTATAAGATTTTATAAATGTTTTTAAAAAGCTTCCTGTAGTTCTCATGTACCTGAAATTTGGCATTGTTTTCCCTTCTTTTGTGTGTCCATAATCAAGAAGTTACTTAGTAAATATTTTTTTAAAAGCTTACTTCTGACTTTTTTTCCCCTTATAGTTTATAAACATTGGCTTCTGGGATATTTTAGCTCCTTTGGGGTTGGAAATTTAGCTCTATTTTGTTTTCTAAATTTCTGAAATATGCATTTTGCAATTATAAGGAGGTCTTTGCATTAGGGGATTTTATTTCTTCATGTGCTCCATATTTAATAAAGAGTGAAGCAACTCCTACAATAAACAAAAGCAAGGAATCCTGCAATGGGTTACCATCCCAGATTCACACATTTCCAGACTGTCCAGACTTCCTGCCCGCGCCAATGGTGCCTCTCCTGGTGCTTGGTCCCTTCAAGTCTGAGGAGCATTCCCGCGCCCCTGGCACTCAGTAGCTACTCATGATGATGAGTGGAGATGAAAAAGGTTAAAACTAGGCTATGAGTCTCACCTGGACATTTGCTTCTAAATACAGAGATGAAAGGGGACAGCAAACTTTAAAGCTAAAATTAGAGAAACAATAAAGGTGTGAATTTTTATTTGCTAAGGAGTGGACTTTAGAGTATCCTACTATCCAGCTAATGTCCAGCATGAGTTTTCAGGTCCAACCCTTGACAGATCCAGGGCTCAATCCTAACTTATAATTGTCTCCTGATTTCATGACTAGCATCTTTCAAGGAGCCATCAAGTTAATTATTGATCAATACATGTATCCTGAAGAATAGGTGGACAGTACATATGAAATGCTTACAAACTTTTGCATGTTTCCTGACTTGATAAATTTATGTGGAAATATGGTTATTGGAAAGCACAAAAATTTCTGTGCGGATAGAACAATAGTGTTCACTGCATCTTGTTTATAATTGTGAGAACCCCAAAATCCAAATGTGTGAGAATAAATAATTCACTAAATAAAGTACAGTAATCATAAAAGTTAATAATTACTAAATGTGTTAGTATGTACCCGTCATTTAACATTGTGGGAGGCTGAGGCAGGAAAATTACAAATTTGAGCCCAGCCTGAGCAATTTAGTGAGGTCTTGTCTCCAAATAAAAAATACACACACACAATTTAACATTCATGTAACACTGTGCTAAACTATCAGTTCATTCACTCACATCATCTTCCAGACTTGCCCAGCAGTGGGGCTCTGCTGTTATCCTTACGAGAGAGAAGGTTTAGAGGTGATCCCTGAGGCAAGACGTTTTACCACTCTACTGAGAAACGCTACATCTAGAATTCAACCTCAGAGGAGGAATTCTAGCGCCTTATTTTCCCATGTCTGCAACATTATTTGGACATTAACATGACATTGTAGGATAATTTTAATAACATGAGCAAAACTTTACCAAATTGTAGTAAATGAAAAAGTGGATTATTTTATTTTGTAAAGAAAAGAAAGTTCCCAGAGGAAAATAATCCTGAAAAGATACAGCATATGAAAGTACTAACCGTGTAGAATGTATTCTTCTATTTTTTAATGGCTCTCAGTATTTCTTAAAGAATGTATGTTATCCTCGCAATCCTGGAAAATGGCAAAATGAGTTACTACACTGCAGACAGGCTTCCCTCCTGCCCTGCTTTGGGGCCCCCGATTCACTGTCATCTTTGACTGCTTCTGAACCTTGGGTTTGCCTGGTTTCTGCGAAAATCACAGTCCTCAGGGCCACATACCCCATAGCCCTCACTCTGAACCCTGGCCTCTGCTGCTCTTCAGTGAGATGCCTGCCTTCTGGTTCTGCTCCTCTAAGCGGGCAGCTTCAGCGAGCAGCCTCCCCTGCTCCATGCAAATCAGCAGACAGTTAATGAATGCTCACCGAATACCCACAGTTATCACTTGGTCATCTGGCAAAGTATGAAGCAAGCCCCTCCGAGTTCTGCCAGGTGCTGTGCTGCCTAGAGTACTTCTCCAGATGTCTCTGTCTGCCCCTGACCTTGGGCAGACAGATTCTCCTGGCAACTTCTTGGACTGTTTGTGGAATTTTAGAGAAGTTAGTCAAAGTCACTAAAAATGTAGCAAAGCTTGATATCTGCCCTCAGTTGAGGTACTGACAAAGCACTGTCAGGTTTTCCAAAATACACCAGGTATAGTTTGCAGTGACCCTTTGGACCCTCTCCCAGGGTCCAATTAATAGACTGAAAAATTTCAGGCTCAGACAACCAGAAGGAAAGGAAAATGGAGCTTGGGGCATCTTCTGGGTTCCTGTCACCATATCTCTATTCATGGCCAGGAATTCATGATAGAGACTGATAAACTGCTTCAGCACTTGTATTGATCAACTCCCTTCTTTCAGGGTTTACTCTTCAGTAACAAAACACACGAAGTGCAGTTATGTTTAAATTTCAAGCCAAACAGTTGGAGGATTTATGTCTGGTTTTACGGTTTTACTGGCCATGTGATCCTGGGCGATCACTTAGCATCCA